AATATATTCATTTCAAAATACACTAAAATATGAACACTTTGATTACCTTCAAATTGTTGTTCAATTTTAACAAAATTTGATATACACGTATAAAGTGATATGAACTTTCAATTTAACGGTTGAATTTACAAAATTTATAATTAATATAAAGTTATTGAACAGTGTAATACTTAGTAAAAGTTACACCGGTATAATTATAATCTCCTATATATATATATAAATTTTTTTTTAGAAAAATTTGGGGGAGCCGTGACTCCCCAGTCACTAAGAAGGTCCGCCCCTGTATACATCAACCACGCAATTGATTATTCGCTTTTTAATTTAACTTTATTTTTGGACAATACTCAGCACAATTGATCATCCATCTACGATTGGGTAATGGAGTATACTAGGATCCGGATCCTCTGACCTTGAGATATCAAAGTTATGGTAACTTAACACATTTCAACCGTTAGATTTGTAATAATAGATCAGATTGTGACACATGTACAAAATATATTTTGACTTAAATATACACGTGTCACAATCTGATCCATTATTACAAATTCAATGGTTTAAATGTGTTAAATTACCCTAACTTTTCCTCTACAAAGTTAGGGGATCTATTTCCCAATAAGGGTTCCTGCTGTGGTTTCATCCGGTCTTTAGGTTAAAAGGTATTTAAATCAAACAAAAAAATTTAACTGCCATATTTTGTTTAATATAATGAATTATAAAATTTAATTAATTTCTTAATAGTTTAATTTTACGTTTTTTAAAAAAATTATTTAAAAAATAATTAAAAATATATAATATTATATTATTTATTAAAGACTATGTATCAAAATTAAAATTAAAAATATATAAATATTAAAATATTTCGATTGCTTAATATATTTAATGACAATTCATAACTTATTATTTTAGTAAAAGTATTTAATATAATTTTAGTTATTACATTAAATATTTTTTCTCATATAATCATTTTAAAAATATTTTCAAACATTATTTAAATTCATAATTTTTCATTTTAAAATCCAGTTTAATAATTTAAAATTTATAAAATATTTTTTACATATTAAACATATATTTAGAGAGGGAAAATATTTTAATAACACGATTTTTTTTTTGGTTCGTCCCTGGATACGCCGACAGCAGTGACTAATCTTCTCGCGACGTTGGAGGCACCTCAAAGGGTGAGATAGCTGGCCCCAAGATTTAACGCGGCTGCATACACAAGGCAGGATTCGAACCCCTGACCTTGGTTAAGGGTGGATCAACCCCTACCGCTGAACCACACGCTTGGGGTTTAATAATAACACGATTTTATAATATACATCTTATATTATATGTTAATTTTGTATATATATATACTATGCATTTAGAAGGAAAAGAATTATGAATAAGTGCAGTTTAATTTGATTTTAAGCGGTTTAATATCTCAATCTGAAAATTGAATCGAATCATGTGATTTTAAAAATTTGAAAATCAAAACAAATCGCTAATTATTAATCTTTTTAAATCGGTTTAAAAATTTTAATTTGAATTGGTTTAATTTTTAACATTTCTGAGTAAACTTGAGTGTGAAACCTTACGACCGAGTGAAATGTGCATGATCATTTGTCGATTAATTTACCTTTCGCCCTGAGGACCTTCGTTTAAAGAGAATAAAGTAATGCAACTTTAATAATTAAAATGAATAAAGAAAATACTGTGTGTATGTTTCTATGATATTATAAAAGAATTGAAAGAAAAAAGACAATGATGATATTCTCCCGTCAAATCTATACCACATTATGTAAAGAAAATGAACTCGACTTTATGCATATGATTTTATTGGAATCTAATCCATTTGAAAGTGCTTTTTTTAATAGATACGATTTTTTTTTATAAAAAAAATTACTACTGCAATGATGAGAATTAAACATAAATTCTTGAGTATTTATCATGACCTCGTGCTGCTACTAAGTTGTTAAGCCAACTCTAATAGTTCATTTGAAGTTTTGGTTTATATTCAAATTTAAATATAAAAATAATAATTCACTAAAAAAAATTTTTTGGCAACTTTTGAAAAATATTATTTAATTATATATATTATTAATTTATTTTTATAATATATTATCAAATATTATATATAATCCATGTTAATAAAAAATTTTAATAATATTTTTATATATAAAACAACATTTTCCAAATGTTATAAAAGTGATAATTTTGTAACATTTTAATAATGTTAAATTTTAGTTAATTCAATATAATAATAGTTAGTTTTAATGTAGATGTTACTATTAATTATATTTTATGACTCCTAACTTCCTACACATTTTTTAGGATGAAGACATTATTAGTTAATTACTATCAAATTTATATTAAATATCAACATTTATTTATCTTAGATATAATTTTATAATTATATATATTATTTATGTATCATTTATTTATTAGATGTAAGACTTTAATCTCATAAAAAAAATTTAGAAATTAGAAAGATTCACGGCTAGAATTTATCTTATTACATGCGACTTTTCTTGCGAATTTTTGTGAAAAATTTTATCTGCAGGTAATACTTTCGTGGATAATATATTTTTGCGAATTTTAAAATTCGCAAGAAATTTTCTTGCAAAAAAGAATTGCAGGAAAGTTTCCTGCAAAAAAAAATCGCAGGAAAGTTTTCTACGAATTTTTTTGCAAGAAATTCTGCAAGAATATTTTTTACGAAAAAAATTAAAAAAATTATTATAAATTCTATCAATAATTCTTCAACTTTCAAATGCTCATAATGAATTTATCCGAAGCATTTGTTTCCACGCCTCCAACATGTGATACATAATCTTTTAAATTCTATGATTGTAGATTATAAGCCTAACACTTAACCATACAAATCAACTTATAAGGTAAGTGTTGTCCTCAACTTATATACTCTTTAATTATTTTATTTTCAATCGATATGAAATTTGAAGTTTTTTAAAATATTAAACTTATATATTTAAATATATTTTTTTCTACGAATTAAAATTTGCAAGAAAAGTTACCTACAAAATTTTTCTACCATTTAATAAACATTACTTGCGAATTTAATTTTATAAGAAAATCTGCAAGAAATAAAATAAATTTTCTATAATATTTTCTGCAAATTTTTATCATGAAATTTTTTTATGATCATTAAAATTGTAGCAAAATTTGTAAAAAATATCTGTAAATTATTTTTCTCAAATAAATTCACAAAAAATTTCTTGCAAGAAAATTCGCAAAAAATTTCTACAAATATTTTTTTTCAGGAAATTCGCAAAAAAATTCTACGAATATTTTTTTTCAAAAAAATTCGTAAGAAAATAACACTTTTTTAAATAATTATTCTTTGTGACATTTGATTATTTTATGTGAAATTTTAATTTTAAAAATAATTAAAAATAACTAAAAATAATAATATTAAAATAAAAATGTTATTTTATTAACATTTTTCAAAAATAACAATGTAAAATATTATATTTAATTAATTCATAGTAATATTTTAATAAAGATAAATAAATAAATATTAGTAAAGAAGTAAATTATTTTTATTAAAAAAATCGATGGATTACGACATTAACAAGTATCACCGACAATTAACAAAATCATTTTTTTAAAAGCAAAGTCTTTATTTAAATTTTGTGAATAAAAAGGCATACACAACAGTTTTGTTCTTCTAGAGAGTCTCAATAAGCTCAATCCTAAAATATGACAAACATGAAATCACGAGTGTGGTTAAAATGTAAAATCTCGTGAAGTATTGATTGTATGTCTGGTATAATTTGGATTCATAAGTGGAATAATTTTGAACTCTAAAATACTGGATACAATGTTTGTGATGAATCTCGTCAAATCTAGATCAGGGTCATGGTTTATTTCTATGACAGGGTAGGTGATTCCTTTTCCTCAATATGGCGCACAAAACCCTTGCAATTTATTAAATTTATATGCAGAGATTATATTATTCTGTTTGCTTTCGTAAAATAGGTTGAAGTACTCTTTGCTTTGTATTCCATATTCAGTAAATTATTCTTTTCTGAAAAACATTATAAGTTCAAACCCTAAATTAGTCGTAACTTTCAAAAATAAGGGATTCGAACTATAATAAGCTAAACTCAACCCTATTCTCATATTGAAATAGTTATTAATTTAATAATTTATAGAATAATTATAACTACTAGTGGGAGTATTAATTATACAGTTTACTAAAAAATATAATCATTAAACTAAAAAATAGCCTAATATCCTTACAGGCCCTATTAGTAACTATCGTACTTATAGAGAAAATATAATAGTATAATCTTTTATGCAACAAAGATAAGAAAAAATGAAGCTGAGAGGATTAATTTAATAGATATAATAAAAAAAACATTGTAAAAAAAGTACACGAAAGGGATAAACTATATATAAAAGCTTTCCCGACTCTCACCATGCAAGGACTGAATAACATATCAAACATTTACATCACTCATCATTAGGGTCAAGTTTGAGGGATTCTTCTTGGTAGTTTATTACAAGTTTCAGTCAATGCATTTTCTTCGACATTTTTATTTAAATTTAAAACCCTACTCCTAAAGGATTGTGGTAAGGTTGATGAATGGTTTAATCCATAAGAAAGCAATAAAATAAAATAAAAACTTTTTTTCATTATTTTAATTGTATTTTAAAACTAAAATCATATCCAAACACAACTAACCATATTTGATGAGACATAAACTTGGTAAATGAAAATCCCAAGTTTAGAGTATCAGAAGTAACAACAATACAATGATTAAAGTTTGTAATTGATGAGGATTTGGCCTCTTCCACCAAGTAATATTGTAAGATGCAATAGAACGGAAATTTCTACTGATATGATACACAACACCAAAAAAATTGGGAAGCAAAAGTGAATATGATCCTATGGGAAACTTGTTTTCACTAGTGATAGTAATAGGAATAGGAAATTTTGATGGCAATAAGCCGCGTGATAGATCCCAGGGTGATGCAATAAAGTTGAGGGCACAGTAGAATTGTAGCAATTGAGGTCTTTAATTTTATCAAGTTTTCTCTTTCTCTTTAATTGCATATCAGAGGGGCCGATGAGAAAGAGACAAAAGAAAGTACAGATAGATCAGATATAAAGTAATGAGATGGAGAGATAAAGATGAGAAGAGAGGGTGAGAGGTTGTTCTGAAGTGATATGAAGAAAGAACTTATTCCATAAAGCAAAGCAAAACTGCTGAAAAGAAACTGGCAGGCACAACCCTAGCCACGTTCTCCACTGCCATAAACCAAGAAAGCAAATTTGTCATCTCCATCATTCAGAGGCTACAGCGTTATCGTCTTCCAATAACCATTCACAGCAGTGAGTGCAGATGTGCACAGCATCAGAGTCAGTCCTCAGATATTCTCAGACTCCCAAACTTCAAAGCAACACCCCAACCAAACCACTTTCGAAAATCTACTCTAACCAAAACCAACCAACCAACCACATTGTGACCAAATGTGAACAGGGTAACCCCATCACCCAAAATATGCACAAGATCATGGCCTATTCCCAAGGCTGATAGAGAAAGGGTAACCGGCATAACCCATTTCTGACTTTCCTTTTCTTACAAGCATAAATAACGTACCACCTTTTCACTTTCTCACATATATATAAATATATATATGAGCATCACTAACATTAATTAAACAAACTCAATAAACAATTAATAACTCTTAATAGTTGATATTGAAGAAGCTGGAGATCAATCCATTTAGTTACTGGTTAGCGCCGCAAAGAAACCACCCTAGCTACATAACTTCAAATAGTAACTAACCACTAGCTAGTCTTTCCATTTATAAACTTAATTAAACTAATACCAAGGATTAATTCCAACTACACCATCTAAATCAAATTAAACAGACCAACACATAAAAATGATTACAATAGTTCAAAGTTAATTAACCTCGAAAAAGAGAGAAACGGAAGCATCGTGATTGATCGATCAGTAAGGTGGTGGCGGAGGAGGTGGTCTCGCCGTCGGAGCCCAAATAACATCAGAGGGCAAGTGACAGCTGTACATGGACATTCCGCACGACTCCGCCTGCCCATGCCCGCCGCTGTCTCCTCCGCCGGACACCGCCGGCGAATGTCCATCCCCGACGGAGGTGCCTTCCTCCTCCGGCGGAAGCCTGTGGTACGCGGGGGTGTTGAACGACGCGGCTATCACGAACACCGTCCCCGCGGCGATCAACGCGCCGGCGACGAGTCCTCCGACGATCTGCCCCTGCGGCCCGGCGAGCGAGATGGCGAAGCCGTTGGGAACCGGCGGCGACTGCTGCGGGAGGAAGGTGGCGGAGACGGAGAGTATGTCGAAGCGGCCGTGGAAAGTAACGGTGGCGCCGGGGGTGGTGGAGGGTTGACGAAGCGTGACGTTGGCGACGGCTCCGGAGCCGGTGAGGACGCAGATGCCCATGTTCTTGCGGCGGCTGAACTGCGCGATGGCATCGACGACGTCGTTTCCTCCGGAAACTTCGAGAATGTAGGGGCTCATAGCGGGTTCGGGGTCCCGGGTTATGATAACGGGTGGCTTGGGCTTGTTTTTGGAGCCGGGAGGACGACCTCTGGGACGCCGCACGACCTCAATGGTGGCGCCGTCGCCCCCGCCGGAGGAGTTGGCCTTCTGAGCGGTTGTGGGTGTAGCGGTGGGTTCCTCGGTGGGGAGTTGGAAAGGGTGGTGTTGGAAGGGGTGAGGCTGAAGCTTTGAGAACATACTAGGTGGTGTTTCATTCTTAGTATGTTGTTCTACGTATTCACCCTTCATTGTGTTTTTTTGTTTTTGTTTTTGTAAGGATTAACCAATTGAGAGCGAGAGAGTGATTGGGTTATTGGAATAAAATAAGAAGAGAAGAGAAGAGAGAGGGAAAGTGGGGGTGGGGAAGGGAATGGAGATTTATATATATTGAGAAAAAGGGTAAGGGTGTGAGAGGTGAGAGAGGTGGGTGAGCTTGGAAAGAAAGTAAAGACTAGTGGCGCCGCTGGTTGGAACAAGGGTGGGCCCACTTTACACATGAGACAGATAGAGAAATATAGCATTATTGGGTGCCTCAATCTAGCACCGCCTTTCCTTTTCTTCCTTCAACCCACTTGAGAGGTAGATCCTTTCTCTGATAAGGACCCCTTTTGATGGGTTTGGTTTTGGGTTATGGGGGATGGATGCCATGCCTTTATCATAATTCAAATATTTGGGGTCCTTTTTTTTTTACATCCCCATCTTCCTCATTGCTTCCTGC